GAATTGAAAAAGCGTTCAACAATATGAAAAAGTGGTTCACAAGCAAAATCTCAATGGAACTAAAATTAAGACTGGTCAAGTGTTTTGTCTTCCCGGTCTTGTTCTATGGAGCAGAGGCATGGACCACAACGAAAGCCACCCTGGAGAAACTATAATCCTTTGAGCTGTGGATATATCGCCGTATTCTTCGGATATCCTGGACAGACCACATCACTAACGTGGAAGTAATGCAGAGAATAGGCAAAAGCAAAGAAATAATCTTCACCGTAAAGAAACGGAAGCTTGAGTACTTCGGACATGTCATGAGGCATACTAAGTACCGGCTGCTACAGTTAATAGTCCAAGGCAGAATCGACAGTAGGAGGGGACAGGGAAGAAGACGACACTCAGGGATGCATAACCTGCGACAATGGTTCGGACTAACATCGACCGAACTGTTCAGAGGTGCCGTAAACAAAGTCAAAATAGCCTTGTTAATAGCCAACGTCCGAAACGGATAGGGCAAAGGAAGAAGAAGAAGAAGAAGAACGATTCCTTACGTATCAAAGCTTGTATTTTTCTATTGGACTCTGTGTGCTTTTTGCATAAATATTTACACATCTACGGCCTATCAAACTGGCTATTTTTAATGTAAGATTAATGTATTTTATATTCTTCTGATGTTCTCTATGTTTCATCACAATAAAATTTTCAACAGTTTAGTAACTAATATTGTTTGTTCTTGCATATGTGTTTCAAAAATTTTGGTAAATTTAGATGAAATAGATTTTAATTCTTTTTTAAATATTACTACAATATTTTATATACCTCCACTACCTCTTTTTACTGTTCTGCCAGGTTTATTATGTATGGCACTGTCATATTTCTTTAGTAGTTTCTTATAAACGTTTCAAAATCTTATTTTGGTCGTGCCCTTTTTTCAATAATTTGTATTATAACTGTTGATCTTTAAGTAATAGTATTTAATGATTTTGTGGTTCAGTTTTAACAAATAAATGCTAAAATGCAATATTACTTCAAATCGATATTAATACTATCTACCATATTATGTAGAAATTATAATTTTCATAATTAATGAACAGAACATTACTTTATTTTGATTTTATCAAAGAATTGGTACTGCTTGGCCATTTCATGATAAATTGTTATCACGCTCTTGCAAAGTAAATTTCACAAAATAACATAACCTAACCATTTAAAACTGAATAATAAAGAGCAATAACACTTTACGATCACATGTTCGTAATTTCCTCACAATCTACCTTGAAAACTGCTTATAATGAATGAAATTATTTTAATTGACTACTTAGTTTTTGATAGGGAAATAATTCAGATTGATAACAGCATTATTGCTTACCTTTAGCACGAGCGACTGCCAAAATAGCTACTAAACACAACACAAAACCTAACATCGTAATTGGTGTTGTTTATAATTGAACTGATATCACTCGTACTAAAATACGCATCACTCTCAATCACTACGAAATATTCAGCCATAATTTTATGCACATATGCTATAAATAAAAAATCTTTGCGTCTGATGAAATGTTTCCTTTCTTAGTAATCTTAATACTGATAAAGAGGTTCCTAACACTACGAAACACACTTCTCAATTATCTATTTTTACGCAGATAATATTTTTTGGGTTTATGTGTTTTCAATATCGAATAATTCTGTTCACGGACAATATTTTAGGGTGTTATTGAACTAAAAAAGTAACAGAAAAATAATGTTAAGCTGTAATTCAAAATTTATCGAATCAAGTGAGGAAAGGTGTCGGTCAGATAGCCAAACTTGACAGGCTGCGGATTCGTATTCGTTTCACTGTCGAAATGCTTTCGGCAGTGGCCCAGGATAGAAAAACTACTAAAAATGTAGCAGTTTGAAATTCTAAATGAGTACATATAATACAACAAAAAGTTTATAGTGAGATAGACGAGTTTTTTGTATTTGTATATATAAAATAAAGGAGCAGGTGCTTGGTAAAATGATAAAATAATTTTGAATTAGGTAAATGGATTGCAGAATATTGCTATAGATGCTTCTTCTTCTTCATGTATCATGTCCTTTCAGAACGTTGGTATATCTTAATTTTATTCATTGCCACCCTAAATAGCATGCTTGTGTCAACACCATACCAATCTCGCAAGTTCTTCAACCATGAGGTTCTTCTTCGTCCTGGACTGCGTTTGCCTGCTATTTTTCCTTGCATGATATTTTGTAACAACCTATATTTGGGACCTCTCATTACATGTCCGAAATAGTCCAGCTTTCTCTGCTTGATGCTTTTTATGATCTCAGTAGTCGTGCTGAGACTTTCTAGTATTGTCGAGTTTCGAATCTTCTCCACCCAGGAAACTTTTAAAATTCTTCTATAGCACCACGTTTTAAAAGCCTCAAGGCGATTTAGATCGATTTTGGTATTATATACACATATAGACGGTTTTATATGCTGTTTTTTACTTATTACGAGTATTTTGGTTTTCCGTATGTTAACGACGATCTTCTTGACTAGAAGCTAGGAGTACTGTATCGTCCGCATATCGCAAATTAATGATGACTTCGCTGTTCACAAGTATTCCTTCTTGTTTTTCAGAAAGTGCTTTTCTGAAAATTCTTTCGGAGTAAACGTTAAAAAGCAGGGGTGACAAGAGGCATCCCTGTCGTACTCCTCTTTTAATATTGAGAGCCACACAGTTTCCACACCATCTACTAAAACTGATGTTGTTTGATTCCAATATAAATTTGCAATTATTTGAACATCTCTGCCGTCCAAGCCTATGTCTTTTAGAGTTTCGATCAATATAGAGTGCTTAACACGATCAAATACCTTTTGGAAGTCAATAAAACAATAATATATGTCTACAGATATATCACGATATCTTTGAGCAAGTACGTTCATTCCAAACAGTGCCTCTCTCGTTCCAAATCCGTTACGGAAACCAAACTGAGTGTCATCCAGGTATTCCTCACATTTATTGTAGATACGACCATGTATTACCTTCAGAAAAATTTTCAATAAGTGGTTTAACAAACTGATGGTTCTATAATCAGCACAGGCTTTTGTTGTTGTCTTCTTAGGTAGATCTATAAACAGTGAATTAGACCAACCATTAGTTAGTAATATCGGGAGGTGAATTATTGCTATCGTCTTCGAATAGGTTCGTGACGTAATTTTCCCATTCTTTAAGTTTTTCCTCTACTTTAAATATTACTTTACCATTTTCAGCCTGTAGCAATGCAGTTTGTTTCTTATTGAAGATACCAGCCGTTTCTTTCACTGTTTTATACATGTTAAACGTGTAGTATCTTTTTTCAAGTTCTTCAATATAATGACACTGTTTGGCTAGATGTTGACTCTTTGCTTCTCGTATTTTACGTCGAATTTCTCTTTGCATGCTGTTGTGAAGTGTTTCGTTGTTTTTTGCTAGTCGCTGTTGTTCCATCAAATCCAATATGACATCTGTCATCCAAGCCTGCTTTTTTACCTTTGACCTGCCTTCTAAATTTCTCACACAGATTTCTTTTACTGTTGTTTCTATTTTATTTAAGCCCTCATCGACGTTTTTGCCAATATTTCCCCAAATTAAATTTTCGTTCAGTTGTCTTTGAACTGATTCCTTAACTTTCTCGTCTTGTAATTGGGCTGTATCAATATTTTTGCGAGACTTCTTTTTGATCCCTTTTTTAATTTTAATTGGGTTACAGCTACTATGGAATTATGATTGGACCCAATGTTAGCACCTGGATAAGTTTTAACTGATCTGATGCAATTTCTAAATCGATTTTTAATTAGAATGAAGTCGATTTGGTTTCGGTGATAGTTTAAAGTGGGTATTCGATATAATGAAACGTGTTCTTGACAGAACTCGACAAGTCGATCTTCACGTTCGTTTCTGTTTCCCAGGCCATAATCTCCCACAATGTTCAAACAGCGTCCTTTTTCGACCTTAGCGTTAAAATCTCCGAGGACTATGGTATTTTCTGCTGCTTTGACAAGATCTAGAGCATCAGTAACATCTTTGTAGAATGCTTCTAATTTATATTCATCACTGGATGATGTTGGGCATAGACCTGAATTACGTTGGTAATGAACGGCTTTAAACTAAATTTTACTAGCATCACTCTGTCAGATATGGGGATATAAGTTAATACTGATTGAGCTAAGTGTTTTGCTACTACGATTGCAACTCCATTATAGTGATTGGCATCAGTATTCCGTCATGGTACACTTGATATCGTTGATTTGCGTTCTTTTCATTTTTTTATGGTATTATATATTTTACCTATAGATGCTGCTTAACTGATTTGTATCTGGTTTGTAATTTATTACATTACATTTATTATATTACAAACTTTTGTTATTAATACCGGTGTACCTACAAATTTTAATGTTAGTATATGGTTTGAAGAGTAATGTGTATGGTAAAGTAATCCGCACGAAAGACAATCATACAATACTAGATTGGTACCAAAAACCCACTGCGTCAGGCAGATTTCTAAATTTTGCTTCCAACCAGCCAAAAAACCAGAAATGCAGTACTGCTCTTGATATGAAAAATGACATATTCAATATATGCGACAACCAGTTTTCAAGTAACAGACAGAGAAAATTACTTGAGATATTTATTAACAACGGTTATTCGAAGATACTACTTAAACAATTAATTTACAACTTCCACTATTATGATGGACAATTGGATAGAGATGCTCTACAAAACTTTAAATATAAAAGATTACCCTTCGTTGGTAATGTAACAAATAAGATTACAGCCTTTTTTTCGAACTTTTCTTTACTGTCATTCCAAAGTATTTGACTTAATTCTAAAATTTTCAAGGTGTATTTGTTCATTTTCTGATTCACTTGTTCTAGTTTGCTGGTTTCAAATAATGTTCTTAGATTCCATATAAACAGTAAATTTGATGTCTCTTGTGAAAATTTCAGCGTAATTTAGTTGTATTGTTATTTTATTACAAGTATAGAAAACTTCTTTTTTCAGAGATGACTACCAAATTCTATCCTGGGCAGTCTCAACGAATCAATCTACCAGAATTACAAAATTCAGCGACGAAATATGGCCCACAGATCTTCAATTTTTACCTAGAACTGGAGGATCGCTTAGCAAGCACGGAGATTTAATTCTTATAACCGCAGCTGATGGAAGATTCCATATTCTCAATAAAGCTGGACGCATTGAAAGATCCGTTGAGGCGCACAATGGAGCTATTTTGGTTGGACAGTGGGGTAATGATGGCACCGGGCTCCTAACAGGTAAGAATATAACTCTGATTATAATATAAAAGTGAAGTTTTTTCATTTTAAATAGTACCAGGTCTGGTATTAAGACTTTTTGGTTAGGATATCCTCAAAAAAGTAGAAGTAGCAAACGTTTCAGAGGGTTTAACTGATGTAAATTTATCTTTGTTTAATTGATAAGTGGGAGTGTTAAAATATTGATGCCAACTAAACAAAAGTTAAATATTAGCATCATAAAATATGTGATTTACTGGGGGTTAAGGTTGGTACAATGTACATTGTTGTAAATTTTATTATTTTCGTAACAAAGTATAAGTAAGTCTTAACTGTGTACTCAACTGGTTCGTTTCATTTACAAGTTTTAACATAATGTTGATGATGAAGATGTGTAGCTTGGTATTTCCATAAATGTATCAGTTCTTCCAAATATAAACAAATCGCACTGTTCGCTTTTCCTAATGCAACGTTACCTACTGTTATACTTTTTTAGATAAAAATGAGTTGACTACTTCTAACATCTGATCTCTAACATCCAAGGGCTTTAGGAGTATTAATCATAAGATCTGCAACTTCAGCTTTTGGCTTTGCTGCATTTAATTGAAATTTTATATCCGTAAATCTTTCCGCTAAAAGACAAATGTCGTCTGCAAAGTCGAGGTCTTCCAGTCGAGGTTAAATTAAAGTCGAGTTCGAAAATCCGAGGTAAAAATCGAAAGATCAAAATAAACGTTTTTTAAACCAAAATTGTAATAAACTCCCATTATCTTCTTCTTTGGGTGCCGTCTTCAATGAAGGTTGGCGATAACCTCAGCAAAATCATTTCTGTCCCTGGCTTTTCTTATTAAAGATTGAGAATCCAAACCAGTCCACTCACGAATGTTCTTCAACCAGGACGCCTGCCGTCTACCAGGACCACGTTTTCCTTCTACCTTCCCCTCTATAAGAAGCTGCAGTAGCTGCTATTTCTCATTTCTGTATATGTGTCCCAAATATGAGGTTTTCATTATTTTTAAGAGTTCTCTGTCGGTACCCATCTTGTGTAGGACCTGCTCGTTGCTCATATGCGCTGTCCAAGGGACTTTCAGCATCCTTCGAAATAACCACATTTCAAAACTTTCCAAACGCCTGAGTGAGTTGATTTTGAAGGTCCAGGCCTCCATTCCATATAGTAAGGTTCTGTAAACGTAACATTTCAGCATTCGGTATCGGATTTTGAGATTGAGTGTTTGGGACGTAAACATTTGTTTCATTTTTAAAAAGACATTGCTTGCTTGTTCAATTCGCGATTTTATTTCTATGTCTGGATCTATATCTTTCATTATCCAGCACCCTAGATATCGAAATTTCTCGACATTTTCGATAATGTTACCATTCACGTTTAAAGCCATGGGTGGATGGATGGATGTTTTGGAGACAATCATTGTTTTTGTTTTCTTGACGTTAATGCTGAGGCCGTATTGTTCTCCCATCGATCTGACGCGGTCTAAGAGTGTCTGGAGATCCTGTGCGCTCTCTGCAATTAGGACCGTGTCATCGGCGTATCGTACATTATTTAGAACTCTGCCGTTAATTTTAACACCTTCTCTTGATTGCTCTAGTGCTCGTCCAAAGATTTCTTCCGAATATATATTGAAAAGTAGTGGTGACAATACACACCCCTGTCGTACACCTTGCTTGATATTGAATATTTCTGTGTCACCGGCTTCTGTTCTAACTGCTGCAGTTTGGTTAAAATACAGCGTTTGGATAATTTTAAAATCGTTCTCGTCTAGTCCCTTTTTGTGAAGTCAATCCATCAGCTTATCATGTTTTACTTTGTCGAAGGCCTTTTGATAGTCAATAAAACATAAAAAGGGGTCCTTTTTTTGGTCTCGACATTTTTGCAGCAGTATAATAAAACTGGTTAATGCTTCCCGTGTCCCAAATCCATTTCGGAAGCCAAATTGTTCATCACTGATATCCTGTTCACATTTCTTATAAATGCGTTGGTGAATAACTTTCAAGAATAACTTTATTCTTGATAAAGAATATATTTTCATTATTTTTATTTTTGTAGGCTCTTCGAGTATCCATCATTCCCAGAATTTTTTGTGTCATCCAGGGTTTAGATTTTCTTTTGTTATTAGTGTTTTTTATATATTTCTCGGCGCTAGTAAAAGCATTCTTGACTTCAGTCCATAAGCCTTCTGTAGTTGGTGATAACTCTCTTTGGAGTCTTTCACATTCCTCATTGAGTTTAGTCTTTACCATACTTTGTATATTTTCTTGTTTAAGTAAATTGATGTCAGTTTTTCTTTTGATAGTCTTTTTTAGCATTTTGAACTTTATTTTTAATTTAGCCACTAGTAGGTTGTGATCCGATGGAACATCTGCGCCTGGGTATGTTCTTGTATCCGTTACTGCATTTTTATATCGCTGGTTTATAATAATGTAATCGATTTGATTTCGGACACAATTGTTTTTATTATCTGCGGGTGATTTCCACGTATATAGCCTCCGTAGTGGTAGCTTGAACCAGGTGTTCATGATAGTTAGTTGTTTCTCCTGGCAAAATTGTAGTAGTCTGTCACCTCTATCATTGCGATTGCTCAGTTTATTTTCACAATGTTAAATGAACAATTTTTAACTTTTATGTGAAGAAAACTGCAAAAAAATAATGCTTAATATTAGGTGAATAAGGTTATTTTACTCGTAAACTTAAATGCTAATTTAAATTGCTTAAACAAGTCTTTTGAACTAAAACAAGTATACGATCAGTAATGAGTGTTCCCCTCTAGCTCTTAATAATGTTTGCATTCTTCTCGGCCGGCTTACAAGAAAATTTTGGACATATCCTTGGGGAATTGCATTCCATTCATCCTGTGCAGCAAGCTGAAGTTGATCTATCGTCTTTGGAACGAAATTTCTTTGTAGTATGTAGCGCTTTAGCTGTAGATATTACATATGTGCTCTATTAGATTTAAAGTCGGGCTAAATAATGGCTAATCCAATCTTCCAATTTGGGCCTCATCAGGATAAATACTCACTATGGCAGCGACATGTAGTCGAGCATTATCGTGCACTAACATCAATCTGTCATATCCAATTTAACCAACCTATGACAAAACATAACCTTGCAGGATGTTTTGAAGCTAAGAGTCACCGGTCGTCCATACAATAACTTCCACAAGTGCAGTGCGTTCCCTTCAACTAATACCTCCCTAAAGCAGTATGCCACGACCTCCAAAACTATCATCCGGTTTTGATCATCCGGCTTTCTTAATAGGATTTTTGTCTGATCAGTTAAATGAAATTTTTTCAGTTGTCGATATTTCATTGAATAACAATAATAACAATAATAACAATATCTTTATTTTTAGAAAACAATATACATTCAGTGAACATAAAATTATTTAAAAAAAACAGTGTCACAAACGAAAATATTATTTACTTATTCCTAACCGTTACATATGCAAATAGTCCTCCACAGAATATGGCTCAAGAGCTACCAGTAATTTAAATATTTGATGTTTATACACACTTAATCTTTCCTCCCTTTTAATAGGTTCAGGCAGTTTATTAAACAATTTGATGCAGCAATAAAGAGCGTTTTTTTCTGTTATACTTAACCTGTGTATTGGAATTTTATAATTATATAACCTGGTATTTACTATACTATTGGGCTCAAAGTTCCTAAATAGTATTTTATTTTTATATAGAAACAGTAAGCATTCTTGAATAAATACAGCATAAACTGTTAAAATATTATTACTCCTAAAATGCCCTCTACATGATTCCCTACTTTTTAAGTCAAACATAACTCTGATTATTTTTTTCTGAACCAGAAATACATTATTTATGTCCCTACTGTGTCCAAAATTTATTAGACCATATCTAAATTTTGCTTCAAAATTAGCATGATACACTGTTTTTAATGAGTTACTATTCATGTATTTTTTTAGAACTCTAAAGCTGTAAATCACTTTACTCAAAGACATACATAACTGGTCAACATGTTTATCCCAACATAAAAAACTATCAATATATAATCCTAAAAATTTGGTACTGCTGCTAATATTTAAAGTGTCATTATTTACAATAATACTGTTTGGCATATCTGAATGTGCATAATTTGTCTTAAACAAAAGAAGATCTGTTTTATTTTGATTTAAAACCAACCTATTCATAGAAAACCAGTCTTTAGCTTTCTGGAACTCTAAACTAGCATTAACGCTTAGAACAGACATGTCTTTACCACTGACTAAAATGTTAGTATCATCTGCATAATTTGTTATGCTGGAAGTAGTATTAGCCACTAGACCATGAAGATCATTGATATAGATCACAAACAGTAAAGGACCAATCACACTTCCTTGTGGTACTCCAATATTGATAGTGCTTTCAGATGAGATGCCGATTTCAGTGTTTTTATGTATTTTTACTAAATGTCTCCTATTTGCCAAGTAGGACTTAAACCAGTTCAATGCTGGTCCACGTATACCATATTTCTCCAATTTATCAAATAATATGTCATGCACTAAACAGTCATATGCCTTTGATAGGTCCAAAAAGAGACCCAAAGCCATATGACCAATCTCAGTACATTTCAAAATATCCCAGACAAATTGAAAAATCGCAGTCTGAGTTGATTTTCCCTGTTGATAACCATGCTGATTTGCACTAATAATATGACATTTTGTTAAAAATTCTGTTATCCGCCTATACATAGTCATTTCTAAGATTTTTGAAAAGGAACATAGAAGGCTAATTGGTCTATAGTTATTAATTAATTTAGGATCACCCTTTTTGTAAACAGGTGTTACTATGGCAGTTTTCAGGCATTCAGGAAATACACCAGATTTTAGTGAATTATTAATGATTGTAGTGAGAGGATTCACTATCTGCTTTATACAAAGTTTAAGGATTTTAGTGGGTATTTCATCAATTCCACAACTCATTTTGTTTTTTAAATTTTTAGTTATATCCATAATTTCAGTTTCTGTCACAGGTGCGACAAACACTGAATTTATGTTACT